AAATTTTTAAATTTCTAATATTAATTACATGGTTTCAAAGACCAGAAAACTGAAATTCAACTACTGAACTACAGCATTTGCAAATCAACTGAAGGTTCAAAATGCAATAATCACAAAACCTAAACCCCCTAAAGAAATTCATAAATTGTGTCATGACTATAGCGTAAAACCCATAACTAAGCATAATTGAAAAAAAGGAGAGTCTACCAAGATCAGGCTTCATATTATGAAGTCAGACAGACAGCAGAGGATTCACAACTTGCCCAACAAAGAGCACAACACCACTGATATCCTCCCTTATTACAAAGAGGAAAGGATGGTCAGCTACAAAGTCAAACACGTCCACGGGTTTGGACATCGAAAATCCAACCGAGGTGACATGACAAGAAACTGCTGCTGCAGCCTTCGTGCCCTTTTCATCCACCTCTACGAATGCCTTATGAATAAAGAGCGAGATTCCGAGCTGAGAGTCAACCATCTCGGTCAAACCACCCTCAAAAGGGAGAACCAAGCCTTGCCCTTTAAAAAACTCGGAAGCCTCAAAATCGAAGCTTATTTTAAACTTGGGGAGACGAAAATCCCCCATTTCCACTCTTTGACGTGGCGTGTGGTGCTCTATGAACCCAGAGATCGACCCGAATTTCTCGACGAGCACCCGCAAGCCATCCCTGGCATTGGGAAGAAAGAAGTACATGGAGAAGGCCCGCGTGTCCTGGCCCGTTTGGTACGGTAGCTTTAGAACCTTAAAATCGTCAAAGGCGAGCGCGAATTGGTCCTTTGAGCTGGTCATGAAGGGGACACGGACCGAACTTCCATTCAAGAGGAAGAAGTGGCGGACTTGGGTTCGAAACGGGTCGAATGATGAATCCCATGCTCCTTTAAAGTAGAGTGCATTTGCAAGGATGAGCATAGTCTTGCTAGTGACTGAGCCAGGTGAGAGCAGATTTTGTATCACACCATTAGTTTTCTCCTCGGCCCAAGCATTCACTGCTTCTCTTGCCACATTAGACTGAAAAAAGTTTCATAGAAAATCAAATTAATGAAAGAGTTGGTACATATAGACAGGGTGAGCACAACACAAGACGGCACTGCACTACCAGAAACACCATAGGGACACATGATTGCTAAGCACAGAATATGATGGAATCAATTGTGCTATAGTTAATCGCAAATGTTAAATCCAAGTGGTGCGAAGTTACGAAACTCAACCTGATTCCGAAAATCGACATGACCTACTGCGCTCCGGTAAGCATTCTCGATGGTTTCTTTGAAAGCAGGCTTCAGGGCAAGGCTGCGTTCGACCCAAACCCCGTTGGCGATGGACAGGAGAGGGCCGCCGAG